GATTTGGTGTCAATACCTTTTTAGACAGACCAAACAGTGATAAGTGGGCATCTCTGGACAAGCCCCCAGTTCTTGGTTGTAGTGGAAAGCTCTGACACATGTTCTAACCCATCAGTCAGAGGGGCCTCAGTAAATCTCAGCCTGCTAGATTAACCATTTCCCTTCCTTCCCTTCCCATAGCTCTTTTGGAATCACCTTCCAAATAAATTGCTGGCATTCAAATCATTAGCTCCAACTCTGATCTTGAGGGACTTAGCCTCAAACATTGGCCTGGGGGCTCTCCAGGGAAGACTTATCCCCTGGAGTACAAATTTAAAAGATGTCTCTTCTCCTGTTTTTTTTTTTTCTCAAAAGATGACTGCATGCATAAAGAAAAACAAAAATGTTTAGACTTTTTTTTTTAAATGTTGGGACTATGGCCAGCTACGCTTGAGAGCTACTTCTGGCTCAGTGTTCTAGGGTCACTCCTAACAGTGCTCAGCATACCATGTGGTACTGGAGATGTAACCTCAGCTGCCTTCATACAAAGGTTGTGCTCAAGTCCTTTGAGCTCTCTCCCTGGCGCCCACATGTTAGGCATTCTTTGCCAATTGTACATGAGTCCTTTGAAATAGTTGTTGCAATTTCAACCACCAGCCACAAAAGTATTTGCACAGGAGCTGTAGTGAACAAGGGGGTCCAATGAGAGAAAACTTCTTAGAAGGTATTACTTAACCTGGTCTTTTTCTCCATTGCCATGAAGCACCAAATAAGAAACTTGTTATTCTTGAAACAAACTGAGAGTATTTAGCAGACTGTCCTTTGCCTCTCTCCCTCACACATGCTGCATCTCAATTGACCTGTCACACTCAGTTCTGTGAGGAAGACCAGCAGTGCCAGCTGCTTATTCAGAGACCCCAGCACTGCTGGCCCAGATCTGTGATTGGCATTACCCCAGAGTTCGTACACATTTTCTCATTCTCTCATATGACTTCTGACAGTAGAAGACATCCTCGAGAGGGGCTAAGGGTGGGCCATAGCTGTGAATGGATCAGATACCAGGTGGAGGGCAGTTCTAATGGGATCATTGCCAAGCCCGCCGACCCTCCTAGTAGCGAGGAGGATTCCAGAGCACTGAGGGAGCAAATCTTACTTTAAGTCCAAACCTGCATAACCAGGATTTTAGACAGCATCTTTGCCTGTCCTGAGCTGCTGTGAGGTTGTTGCCCAAAATATCGGTGAAGGCCACAGATTGACTTTTCTTTAGGAACTTGTGCCAGTTCCCAGAGTTGGCTGGACATTGAAACCAGACAGGGACCCCTTTTGCCCCCAATTCAGGACCAGGTGGAATCTATTCATTCACACTAATTCCATGCATCCATTTGCTGTTTGTTAGTGCCAAGAAAATTTGAATTAAAATGCCTAGATTAAAAATAGTGCTCAAGAGTCCTTGGGGTAGGTGCTGAGAAGAGGAATTGCCAGATCATATGGAAGCTCAATTCTTAGTGTTTGAGGAAGTGTTTGTATTGTTCTCCAAAGAAGTTAAGCCTGTCAGTGTGCCCACCAGCAGTGAATGGGGTTCCTTTCCCCATATGCACACTGAATTGATTGTTTTTGTTATTTTTAAAATGTGTGCTAGTCTCACTGGTATTAACTGGTATTCCAATGTTGTTTTTATTTGTGTTTTCCTGATGATAAGTGATAGAAAGCAATTTTTAATTTACCTGTTGGCTATCCGTATGCCTTCTTTAAGGAAATGCCTGTTCATCTGAGCTTACCACAGGGAAGGGTGAGAGGAAGAGCAATATGAGGACCGTGATACAATGACGAAGGGAAGCAGTGCTGGAGGGTGTGGCGTTGGAACATTCTATGCATTAGACACTATCATTAACTATTGTAATTCATGATGTTTCAATTTTTTAAAAATTTTTATTAGTGAAACACCATGAGGTACAGTTGTAGACTTACAAATTTTTGTGCTTGGGTTTCAGTTATACAATGATCAAGTACCCATGCCTTCAACAGTGCCCCATTTTCCACCACCACGGCCCCAGTATCCCTCCCACCCCCCATCGCCCCCATCCCATCCTGCCTCTGTGGCAGGTCATTCCCTTTTGTTCTCTCTCTCCTTTTGGGTGTTGTGGTTTGCAAAAAAGGCATTGAGTGGCAGTCATTCTTGGTCTATAGTCTACTTTCAGCATTCTTCTCAATGGAGTACTATGTAGCTGTTAGAAAAGATGAAGTCATGAAATTTACATACAAGTGGTACTGCATGGAAAGTATCATGTTAAGCGAAATAAGTCAGAAAGAGAGGGATAGACATAGAAAGATTGCACTCATCTGGGGAACATAAAGTAACAAAATAGGAGGCTAACACCCAAGAATGGCCAAGATTAGTACCAGGAGGTTTGCTCCATGGCTTGGAGGCCAGCCACACATGCTAGGGGAAAAGGGAGCTCATATAGAGAAGGGAGCACCAAATAAAGGGTGTTGATGTTTCAAATTTTTTTTAAATTCCTAGAATCAAAAAAGAGTGATATGGTTCTTGATTAACCCTTGTCAGTCTGAGAAATCTGGGTTCAACAGGACAGGGAATGGAGATCCTCCGCCCGTACCCCCCTGTCTCCTGTAACTCAGCAGTCACAGCCATAAGCCACCTCTCGCCAGATAATCTCATCATCGGCCACCATCCAGATCATGTGTCCTCCTCTCCCAGAAGGGAGCATAACATGACGCTCGTGATAACCATGCCACTGGACCCCGCACCAGGCTGTTTCCCTTTGGGTGCCCTGGAGGGGGTTGGATGAGGCAACCTCCACCCCTCCCCAAGGGACCCAGCCCTGGCAGCCAAAAACCTCCAGAAGCCAGCTACTGCAATGCTCACGGCCGCTCTCCACACACTCGGGCCGAGCCTCACCCACAAGTGAATCTATTCTTGAACCATACAGCTGCATTCGCGGCTGTGCAATACTTCAAACCACACACCCTACGCATACTCCAAGAGTACTGCATCACATCTGATGGGTTCAAAGTAGGAGGCAACGAATCTTAGAGGGACTTATAATTTTTACAGATATATATGTGTACATATATATGTGTATATATATACAGCTATATATATATATATATATATATATATATATATATACAGCTCAACCTTTAAGAACATGTAAGCGAACTCTCATAGAAGGGCTTAATGGCCCCTAGGTGAAATACAACAATCTCCACACTCTTTCCTCTAAGAATACTTTTTATAGCATTTTCTGTGTTTTTTCATAACAAACAATATAAACTATATTATTTCAGTTCTGCTTTGGGGCAGGGATTGGGGTTCAGGATAGAAACATCCAAAATATGGTGGTGGGAAGGTGTAATGGTGGTAGGATTGGTGTTTGAATATTAAATGAAATGAAATGTTGTGAACAACTTTATAAAATTCAAAATTTTGTTTCAAAAAAAGCCTTGTCAGAGAGGTCAGAAGGACAAAAGCTGACTTTGTTGAGGATGAGTAGCAGCAGCAGACCTGTGGAATTGTTGCTCCACAGAGCTAACATCTCACACCTGCCACCCTGAACACTATTTTTTGTACTTTCAGCAGTTGGGTCACATCTACCGATGCTCAGAGATGATTCCTGGCTCTGCACTCAGGAATTATTCTTGATGGTTCTCAGGGATAGAACCCTGCAAGGCAAACGTCCTCTCCTCTGTTCTATCACTCCAGCCTCCGAGCCCTATTTCTTGCTCAAAGCTGCAGCACTCCTCATGTCAGAAACCTGTGGGATAGAAATTAACAGCTTTCAGTAAGAGAACTTATAGCACAATCCTCCATCTCACTGATACTTGGGAGCCATCATGCTCCAACATGTAGTAGTATAGGGTAGCCCTCTGACTTTAGTTAACCAGTGTGATGGCTCTTGTGATCAATACAGTAATTTGGCTCTGATGGTTCAGAATAGGATGGTCATGGTTAAACCTTGAACTGGAAAGTGCCACAAAGCCCTTTGATGGTTACACAAGAAAATACTGAGGGAAAAAATAGCAGCTACTTGTCTCCTTTGGGGTCGGGGGTGTGGGGAAGGGCGTGGCTGAATTATGAGCATCGAAGCATCTCTTGTTTCTTGCTCGAAGTAACAAGAAAGAAGAGAGCATTTGGAAATTGGAGGTAGAGGGAAGGTGACAGTGGTGATCTGTCTCTTCAGATCACTGATCTGGATTTACTGGTGGTGTGGTTCTACTTTGAAGACTGACATCTGTAAATCTTCAAGTATGCTATCTAACTTGTCTTGTCCTTCAGATCCTTCTCTATAATATGGGAATGACAGCTTTTGTGATAAAAGGTTGAAGGGACACAAAGCGCTAGGAAATTTGTCATCCCAGTTCCTGGAATAGGTAAGGATACAAAAGGAACTAGATACCCTAGAAATGAAGTTGCCAAAGTATTAGCAAATAAATTTATGTGATAGCTCACATGTTTCTTTATGAACATGTTTAAGTCACAAAGGATGACCTGAAAAATATGCATTATGGATATAATAAGTGGAAGCTGTATAGTATACTACAGTAGTGGAAAATATGAAATTATTTACTGGGCTTGCATCTCAGGTATTTCCAACATTAATGTGACTTGGTGCTGATGTTCTTATCTGAGGGAAACACTCAGTTCCAAGCAGAGATTCATGAACATAATACAATGTAACTTTTTCTCATCCATAGTCATTAAACCATCATTAAAAAGAGAACTAGTGAGACTGGAGACTGGAGACAGTGGGAAGGGCACTTGCCATGCACACAGCCAACCTGGGTTCAATCTCCAGCATCCCATATGGTTCCCTGAGCACAGCCAGGAGTATATTCCTCAGTGCTCAGGTGTCCTTGAACTTCATATATCCCCCCAAAAAAGGTGAGAGAAGGGAAGAGAGAGAGAAAGAGAAATAGAGAGAGAGAACTGGCAACACTGTCCCAGACCTCTGGCATGGGCAATGTTATCCGTACTGAACTGTTTTTCTTTCTCCTTTTTTTAGCCCTGAATGAATTTCCCAATGACATCTTTACCAACGAGGACAGGAGGCAGGGAGCTGTGCTTCTTCACGTGCTCTGTGTAAGTACCCTTTCCAGCCCTCTGCTGAAAGGATCCAGAGGAAAGCCGCTGCTAGTGAGAGGTGGAGAGGAGGTATCTAAAGAGGTCTCTTCCCGTTACCCCTCCTATACAATTTAGTAGAGGTCCTCTAAGCCCAGTTGTGAGCTGTCTTCAAAAGTGCCTTCTTTAAAGTCACCCAAATATACTTTTTCCTTGATATTATGGTTCAAAGCAAGAGCTTCAACGTCACATATACTTATTCTCTTTGACCTTACTCTCTCTTGGCTTAAATTCCATGGAGCTCTTTCATAACAAGGCCTTTTGCAAAGTGCCACTGACGTTCCTCTTACCCATATCTAGTTTTCTCTATACTATTTATCACTGTGTGACCTAATATATCATTACTTTATTAACTGTCAACCTCATTCACATGAAGTCCCATGAGAATAGAGAGAGTTTTGTCCATAGTTTAATGTCCAGATCTGGTCTGGCATGTGGTTGTGGGCAAAGTTTGTTGATTAGTGAGATTCAGTGAAATAACAATGGAAACAACATATGGCACCTAGTAAGTAATAATTAAGAGTTTGTTCCCTCCTTCTGTCTCTTACTGGCCACATATCCACATATTCAGAGTGTAGAATGCCTTTGATTTGCTCTGTCCGCTTTGCAGAGACATGGAAGGGTGTTGTGAATTTATGTATATGTATGTGTGTTTGTGTGTGTGTCTATGTGTACCTGAGGAATAGTTCCACTCCTGTACAGACCCATGTCAAATTCCAAACAGAGTACGTCACTATGTTCTGTGGCATTCACTCTCTCCTGGAATGCTATCTATTCCATTCCAGTTATATAATGCTTCCAAGCATACTCCCCAAATTTAGTTACATACCCAGAAACTGTGTTATGTTGCTCATGGGTTTGTGGGTTAACAGTTAAGAAAGGCACAGAGGGAATGAGGTGCCACGTGATCTCAAATTGCAGATTTAGATCATTTAGATCTGGTCCTGGAAGTCTTTCCCAAGAAGACTTCTCCACTCCCTTACCTGGTGTTCAGGCTTTAAATACCAAAGGACTGACTCAGGTGGGCTGTTGACCTGAGCAGCTTTCAGCATGGTTTCACCTGACAACCCTGAGAGGATGACAGAAAACAAGGAGAGAGCCCATGGCTCCTCTCGATTTTGCAAGTCACAAACCTTGCTTCCACTGTATACTGTTGCAATAATAAGCACACCGAAAGAGAGGAGAGGGTTGTTGGAAGATACAGAGACCTCACTTTCAATATTCTTTTAGATTATATCAATAGGAAATTCCTAAGACACTAGAGTCAGACCAGCTACGTATTTGGACCGGTTCTGCTATCATTGCTTTGCTTTGGGACCTGAAAAAAGAGTCAAACTTTCATAAACCCATAATTAACTTTTGCCAGTAAAAGAATTCGTTTCAGGTCTTTATTCCAATCCCTGGAAAGGGTGAAGGGGTGGTGAGAAGTTCATTTTCAGCAAAGATCATCTCTTTTAAAATATTCAATTATAAAGTAGACTCTGCAATCCTCTCTCCTTCAGGAAAGTTACATGGAGTCATTAATATGGATACCTGCTGCCATCTTTGGCACCAAGGCTCCCTTGTTGCAAGGCTAAGGAGACACAGATACAGAGTTGTATCCAGAATTTCCAAGTAGCTGTTAGCACCATGCTGCCTTAACATGTCAGAGATGAGATTTCCACTCTCGATGCAAACAGTGAATTTCCATCCTCCCAAGATGGTGGTACTGATGGAGCTGCAAAGCTCTTACTCCTTATCTCCACCTCCTTTGTGTATTCACTAAATCAACAAAAGGGAGAGGAAGGTTTCCTTGTTTGCTCTTCATGTTTCTAGTCTATTATGTCTCTGTTATTAGTGGCAGAGCATCCAAGTGGACAAAAAGTTTCCCTCTTGGCGCCTTATTAAAAGATTGGCCATCAACCTGTAGCCTTAGACTTCATCATAACTGGTATCTAACACCACAATTAACTTGATCCTAGTCCTAATATATAGCACTACAGGACAAAGAGGCCAAAGGTCAGGGTCAGCATCTATCTCATAAGTTTCCAGGTACATGAAACTGCAGACTTGTTCTATCTAGAGCACCTTGCCTGCTACCAAGCATATCCCTACTGGGAAAAGACCCAGGTGGAGAATGCTCAGTGTGATCCCTGGGGTGTCCATGTGCAGGTGGTATAGGGTGAAGCCGGCGCCCACTACACCAGTGCACTTCTCCAACAGGGACTGAGCACTAGTTAGGGTGGGTTGCTGTACCCGATCCAAAATCAGGAACTCAGCCATACTCAGAAGAACATGAACTCCCCTAACATGACCTAACCTCTTGGAAGAAGTCTTTTGAACAATGTCTGGCACACTGACCAACAAAGGTGTTTCTATTGAGTGCAGGAATGAAAGGTTCTTTAACCTCTTTAGCTTGCCATCATTGCACTTCCAGTGGTGCTCAAGAACTGTTAGATGAATGTTGTTGGATATAAGCAGAGATGCTTTTCAGGCTCACCTGTGACATGTCAGGGCCAGCAAGAAATAGTTGGATGCATGAATCAAAATGTCACAAAGCTAAGTACAAAACTTCTGTGCTCAGCCATCTAGAAAGCATTGCTCTCTAATGCTCTGCAGTAGCATAAAGCTGAGTTAGAAACTTCTAGAAATCTAAGATATGCTTGGCCTCACCTTATAGGATCCCACTGTCCCGTGAGAAGCACATTTTTTTTCTCACAAATACTAGATTCTGATTGTGGTCCCAGCGACATGCTCTGTAGAGACCTTGAGGCAGCTGGATGATACCTAGTCTCTCACTCCCCTTTTTAAATGACTTTCCAGAGTGTTTTCCAGAGTTTGCACTGTCCTCTGATGGGCCCTTTCTTGCCTGACTGGAAATGGCCATGTTGGATCCCCTCGGGCTTTTTTATCCTATTCAGTCCTAGTACTAGGATAGGAGGGGATTGACTCCAAATTGGAGCAAGCCTGAGTTATCCTGAGATGCCCGCAGGTGAGCGTCTCTAGCTCATTTGTTTCTTCTCAGTCAGACCCCATAGATTGTCATATCTTGAAATCTTTGATCATAGACTTCCTGTTCCCGCCAAGTCATTATGTTATTCTTTAGAAAATGCCTTCCCACTCTTCAAGATAAGTGCAGCTGCACCTCCCCACCCTGGATGGTGCCTTCTCCACAATAGGTTATTTGGGAAGTAAGACAGAATATTTGTGCTGAGTTTCTATACATGGAGATTCCCCAGGAATGGCAACAAGAACTCCAGTGGTCCATCCCTGAGACACCCTGATACTCTCTCCAGTATCCCAGCCCCTGTCCACATTTTCCTCCTCTTCCACTCCATGCCTTCTGATTCTTAAGCACTGTAGCACTGTAGCACTGTCCTCCCATTGTTCATTGATTTGCTTGAGCGGGCCCAATAACATCTCCATTGTGAGAGTCGTTATTGTGTTTGGCATATCGAATATGTCGTGGGTAGCTTGCCAGGCTTTGCTGTGCAGGCAAGATACTCTTGGTAGCTTGCTGAGCTCTGAGGGGGCCAGAGGAATTGAACCCGGGTCGGCCGGGTTAGCCACGTGCAAGGCAAATGCCCTACCTGCTGTGCTATCACTCCAGCCCAGACTCTTAAGCAGTGGAGTTTATTTACAATGTCTGAGAAAATAGGAAAACTTATTTTGTGAGTCTGCATCCAAATGCTCTCTTATTTTCAGATCAGTTTTCTGTTTGTTTTAGTGAAGCAAATATTTTTTATTGAAAGAGAGAGAAAGGGAGAGTGAGAGCATATCATCTGAAGTTGAGATGCAGGAATATCACTAAAATAAATGCACTTCCAAGATTAGCTTTTAAAACTTAAGAATTGTGCTCATTTCTGTCTTGCTCCTGAAAACTGTTGCAGTGTTCTATTCCCCAAAACTGCAGGGGAAACCCATTTGAGGAAGACACCTTGAATAGAGGTGATAAAATGTGATTGAGAGGCAAGGACAAAGGAGAAATACTATTCAAATACTGTTCTCCTGGGACTGGGGTCCTTTACAGTTCATTTGGGATTTCCCTAGAGCTGTGGAATTCTCAACCTGGAACAATGCAGTACATGTGCTGCATTATCCTCTCTGCTCCTGCTCCCCAATATGGCAGCCTCACTCCTCCTGCTGCCATGCAGATCTTTGTCTGCCCTTCGTATAACCCTGTGAACCTGTTTCTCTTGTCTACTTCCTTCCTGGACTGTTCAGTGTTCTTAATTTGCGTCCCCCCGAAGCCTCTAACTGGCTTCTCTTATTTTTTTCACCTGATTAAGAATCTCCTACAGCTAGTGGGGCTGGGCTAGGTTGGCACTAAGGACTTAATCACTCAAGTGATCAAGAAGCCGTACTTCCTTTAGGAGGCAGATAGCATCAGTTCCCAGTTCCTGCAGAAGAAATCTGGGCTCAGGAACCCTACAGACATCTCCCTACCCAGAGAGAAAGAGATGAGTTTGGTTGTGTTCTTAAGGATGCTTTGGAGGTGGTGGAGTTTCTCCAAGAGAGCCAACATCCCAAGTAGGTTGGTCTACCTCCCTCCTAAGTTTTTTGTTCCCTTCCAGTCTTAGGAAAGGTGTCCATTAAAAAGAGCTTCACAAACCATTGTTCTTTGTTTAGGGCATAAGTTTTTTTTTCATTGTCACTGCTATTTAATTTTATTATCTAGAGGAATTGTTTTTCTTAATGTCCTCCGTTCCATGAGGCCCAGATTGCTTTTTTTACGAGCCAAGGAAAAACTAAGAAATTCAATAGCTCACTCCAAAGGGGCAGGAGGGCCAGTGGGAGCCAGCAGGGGGTGGAGGAGGTTTCTTCCTCTCCCTCCTTCCTCAACACTTGAAGAGGCAGTTCTTCACATCAAAATTTAAAGTTCATCTCAGCGCCGGGGTTATTTTTGTCCCTCCAAAGCTATTGTTTGCCTCTTTTGACTCTGAGACTAGATTTTTATAGACCTAGGTTAGCAAACAGAACTT